CCGTAACTGGCAGTGGAATCCAACACACAAGTTTCGTTCCGTCTGGTACTCATCAGCTAGATGTGGCTGCATCCTAGGGTTGATGTTCACTCTAAGACTCGAATCCAATACTACTTATTTCAAGCGCCGTCACTTTATTCACTGAGATACTGGATCCCACTGCTAGCCACATTCCATTTACTGTATGCAAAGTTGTGCTATAATGGCTATTTTGAAGCAATCCGCACGGGATGCCTATACAGCGACCAAGACTGAACGGATTTCAGTCGAAAATATTAACAACGGGATAAACTAGGCCATTTCAAGTTAAACCAAATGATCGGTAAAGTTTAAACCAATCAAACTATTGGGTATAAATTGTTAGTTACCATTTGCAAGTATTGAAATTACTGGTATCTGTATTGCATAATCAGAACAGTTTCTCGATTCTGTTGAATGTCTGTATCCTAATCTGATCAAGATAAAATATTTAATAATTGGACTACATATTTGACTACACATCATGTGATCTGTTTAAATGAGGTGAAATAGTTAAGACATAGTAAGATAAGGAGAGCGCTTAACAAACACAACATGTGAATAAGATAAAGACATATTGTTAGGAATATTTTTCATTTATGTTTTTATCATTGTTGAAAGCGTGAGTCAATTGAAGCTAGACCACCATGGAAAACCTGGAAACACTGGACGGCCGTTTCGTCCTATTATGGGACCCCTCAGCAGTGCGCATCCACGAACCAGCTCTCGCGAGCGAGATTCGAACCCAGGACCTACCAGTCTCGAGCCGAAGCCCTTAACCGATAGACCACTGAGCTGGCATCCAACGGTGTTAATGTCTAACTTCAACTGATCCACGAAGTTGAGCAACCATTCACCAATTGTCTTCAGTGAGTTCCTATCTCACAACAGACGTGGTCTTGAACTCCACTGGTCACTGCTTCTCACTAGAGCTCCTAGATATACTTCTCGAAATCACTAGTGAGCATATTATTATATTAATTATAGAAGGGATTTTGTGGAGGTTTAGTATTTATCATTGTTGAAAGCGTGAGTCGGTTAAGGGCTTCGGCTCGAGACTGGTAGGTTCTGGGTTCGAATCTCGCTCGCGAGAGCAGGTTCGTGGATGCGCACTGCTGAGGAGTCCCATAATAGGACGAAACGGCCGTCCAGTGTTTCCAGGTTTTCCATGGTGGTCTAGCTTCAATTGACTCACGCTTTCAACAATGATAAATACTAAATCTCCACAAAACCCCTTCTATAATTTATGTTTTTGTTTCAGTAATGACTAAAACATAGCAATAATAAATTGTTTATCCGAAAAAGGCAAAAAATAGATACATAACACCTTTTCACATGTTAGAATAAAAGCAAGTACAAATCTGTTCAGATTAGTCGTTCGTAGATACTTACTCAATTCGGTGGTTTCAATCACAGATTGACGTCAACTGAGAAGTTGGTAAACAAACCAACGTAATAGCCAGAAACTACGGCTTAAGTCAAATCTTAGTTCAACGAAACGTAAAAAAAACAGTTGGAAGTGGTTTTCCATCCATTTGCCTATTACATCAAATCATGTTTATGTATAAGGATATCATTAACAGGAGTATGTGTCAATAATTCTGTATCGTTAGCAGTCATCACTCTGACAAATCTTATCACCGCGCTCACAGATGGATCAGTTCCTATTTATTAACTGAAAAATCTTCAAACATCCTTTATTATAAATCATTGATTCGAAATAAGTGCTTCATCCTAGTTAGGGGCTTTGCAGAGTAGAATCATAGGTATAAAATTCTGAGTAGTTTCAATCTTAAATAAGACAGCTGTTTATTGCTTCCTGGTTTAATATGAAACTATCAACTTGATGATGAATTTATGATTATGGGTGATTCCCGGACCAAATAACTCAGTTACTACTTGCGACAATAACACAGAAGATAAAGGACAATGACAATTAACCTCAAATTTTAAAGATCAGGACTCAAAAGTTTCAACCGTATTTTATTAGAGATAAACAAAACATGCTATAAACCTACATTGTTGATACATATAGTATTAGAAAAAAGGTTAAGATATAACTGCTTGGGATATAATGCAGATCCTCAGCCATAACCTGATGGTCAGTTGTTAAGGAACTCTAGTTAGTTCAAATAAATAAGTGATCATGAACAAGGACATTTCTTTATTTTAAATGAGCACAAATTTCTTTATACAAACCCGACCATAAAGAATTGTTTTAGCGGTACTGATGAAGTCATGAAGCCGATAGTGTGATGTTTCACACTCTTTTTTACATAATTTATCTTAGATGAACCATGCTCAGAATTTTCTGTTTTATTTTGTTTTAACATCCTTATATTACATCACAAATAATAGTAAAATGTAGGAGTGGACTAATTGGAACTGTGTTACTGGTCTGGATTTTTTTTAGTTAAGCTAGCAAACTATGACAATCGGTTAAAAACAAATTACTACGGTTGAATCAACAACACACTTTTCATTTTATCTCTTATAATACAACACTAAACTGAAATAGGTTTTACATACACAACCAAAAGTGCGACTGTCAAACAGTTTATACCCATAATTAATATGCTAAATGCCAAATATTTTTTGTAGACATGAACAAATGGTAAGAGGTATGGAGTTAATACTACAATATCACAGATGAAAAATGATCTCGACGAAAGTGAGGTGCTTTTACTATCTAAACGATGTATGTGTATTTGAACCATTTTCATCATATAACTGCGATCTGAGTAAAATGCTCATTCGCCTATCCAACTTCTCTCGCTTATTAAATAATCCTGACAAAAAACCATGAGGAATAGACAGATCGCAGCCTAAGATATTAAAGAAACTTGCTACTTTCATTGAATTAAAATTCGCCCACTATGAGACAAGAGAAAAAACATATGAGACCTATTCTTAAAATGATCATGGAACAAAAAAGGAAATGACCCGTCCTGTAAGACTGACTAGCAAAGTCGTCTCAACCCAATAAAATATTGATCGCGAAAAATTGTTTGCGTACTCAGATTAAAAGTCAATACATTCTGAGAGGCAGTACTGTTGCAGAACAAACTATTTATTAATGAAAAGAGGAAGCTGAAAACTCTCCCATACAGCCTACTATCTCTTCCTAGGGCTTAAGTGTATCTTTCAAAAAAGTCAGAAGGACCGTAGGTATTTCAATCCTCAAACCGTTTTGGTGATTCTGAACTAAAAAGACAAAATCCATTTCCCAATATCACGCAGAAAGACTAAATGTGACCTGATTACTACCGTCAAATTTATAAGTGATAATTTTGAGTTTGTTATTCCCTTATTTTTGTTACCCTGAAAGACAGAAAACATTTGTTCAAAAATACTGAAACAATTCGTTCAGCAAGTGACATTCCTTGTCTAATTACTTGGTTACAGCTCCTTAAATTAATGTTTCTAAAAGGTCGGATTGGATAAGATATCCTCATCACAAAGACGTAAAGTTTATAGGTTTTTCAGTCTTTTTTAAACTAACAGAGTTTCATATAATATTTATAATTATTTGGTCGAATAACAATTTGGGCAAAAGATAGTTGGATTGAATAAACTATTAAAGAACAAATGACGTCTTTTTCGATGAGACAATAAAAGATGTTTTATTCAAGCAAAAGAAAATAATGAAAGTCTACTCATCCAAGCCTGCAGTATGAAAAAAACCAATTATATGGAAAAGTTCGTGAACGTAAAAGGCCTAAATAAATTTTGAGCTACTCAAATGACAACTACACATAGTAAGATGATATTCCAAAACCAGTATCAGTGGACCTTTTATTTATTCATGAACCAACTTACTACAAGAATCACTCGACGCTCGTGTGCAAATTTGAATTGAAACTAAAGTTCTACAAAACGTAATCTGAAGTTGAAAACAATCATATCAACTTTGTGATAAACATTCTTAGCTTACACCGTTTAATACTGATGATTTTGTCTAGACAGCTGTGTTTATGAATAGAAATGTTAGATAGTAGGCTTCTATTTGCCCATAAAAAGTCTCTAGTTGGAGTCCTGGAAGTAAAATAACATAATGGCCTGAAAGGATATTGTGAAAGGCTTAAGATAAAGGTCGGTGACGATCATAGTGAGTTTCATACACATTCTTTATGGACACTGACAGCTAAAGGCACTTGATCAAGCAACCTCATCGGACTGAGAGTCAGTCAGATTTGAGACGCTTCTCATCCGGATAGGTAGTCTGTGAGCTTTAAGCCCATATATCTCTTCACGCAACTGAATATGCTTTACTTCGCAACAATTAACGCCTTTTTCCTTATTACTCTTCTGAGCGAACTTCAGAAAGGTACTTGGGAATATCTGATGCCCAGTTATGCTTTTTCACCGTATATCTATACATATACATTCATATCATTAGAGTCCAGGTACTGTTAAGAGTGGCCACTCGAAGAAAGAGCATCAGTTAACGAAGTCACTGAATGTTAGTCTGAGCCATTTTGGTAGGTGTAGGTTACTTCATTGAAGTCCATAGAATAACTAAAGTCGATTTTTGAATACTTCAGTAAACGTGACTTATAATCCGTCCTAGTGGTCCGGGTTTAATCTATGTTCATTTTCCTCTTGACCTTGTATTCCAGTATTCCTTCATTTATAATATTCCACTCTGTCTTTACGAATCCCATTCTTAATTTCCACTATTTCTTGATACGATTGCTACCGAATTGTTCTGAGTGTTTTGCTATCAACGCTTTTCAATTTATCTTTTTGTATTAGTATGACATAGTGACTTGAGCCAACGTACATAACTAATATGCTTTATGTTTTTCATAACTGAGTCACTGATGGACGTCGAAGCATATGGTTATATATTACTACTGCAAACCGTTTTATTTGCCCACTAAATTACAAGAAATAAGATGTTATCCATACAGTTAATTCAAAATACTTTTGTGAAAGGTGGGGTGATAATCTAAACCAAATGTATTTAAGTAAACACTGACCTGTGAGTGACCAATGTAGCTCAGTTTTTCAGCATCAGTGTGATTGAGGACGTACATCAGCGTTGCTGGAAGGTCATATTTACCCATTTCATCCCAAGAGAACTCCCAAAACTCTTTGTCATCAGGTGTTAAATACTGATGATTTGATGAATAAGTGCTTCCGCGACTGTTACCAAGCCACACATCATAGCAATTATTAGCAAGTATAAATCCTAGGCTTTCGTCCGGTAAGTTGTTAACCCAAGTGTGGGCAGAATCTAAAAGGCCATGTTGAAGGAATACAACTTTTTGTCTCCCTAAATATGTTGAGGATGAAGGCGTTTTACCGACAGTACAAACCTGAAGCTTCGTGACATTTCGGTAAAATCCTTATAACACATAAAATAAAGCCATCTTCAGTAGTAACATAGTGTTCTTCAAATTTGTAGCCTTTGGAGGATATTATTTCTGTCTGTTCATTGAAAATTATGAAAATGAAGTAAATTTAACAAACTATATTTTGGTATACTTCCGGATCAACTCCACTTTTCAATTTCCAGAGTACTTTTTCAGCTGAAGAAATAGTGTTTATTCGCGCTTCATCGACAACGACACTGACAATAAGAAACCACAGAAACCAATATAGCAAAGCACACCTTTTCATTTGCCACCCGAAATTGTAAGCTCCGAAACAAGCTAGAAAAACAAACATGTTTCATTGAATAAACTTTAATGAATCAGCCAAGCACATACTAGGGTACAAAGACTTATTTTTATTCTTAGTATATGAAACTCTTTCTTTAGTTTTCAATAATGGTTCTCGTTACATTTTCTCAGTGAACGTGTTGTCTTCAGTCCTCAGTAATAAGTGTAATAGGTCGATGGACCTGTGTTAATCCTGGCAGTTTACTTTCAAGTGAAGTTCCAGTTTCTCTTTGAAAAATATACTGGTGGGGCTGATACCATTTGTTCGGGTAAAGCGTTCCAGTCATTGACCGCTCATTGAGAAGAACGGAACCCCTCTTTAAGCTTGTTAGATCGCGGTTTGTGAACCTTCTTACAATGACCTCGGAGATTAATATTGTTGGGGAGAGCAAAAAGATGAGACACATTAACACCCAGATCGTAATCAAAGGTACGAAATGCCAATATAAGGTCACCTCGCATCGTACGAAACAACAAGGCGAAAAGGTTTAGGCGTTTCAGGGAATTTAGCAAGACACATCATTAACTTTGTTTCCAAACACTGAATACGCTCAAGTGAGTTAGTATCGTTAATCAGGAATGGGCCAGCTGCTTGGATATAATACTCTATGTGTGGTCTTGCATAGGTGGGATATAAATTTTGAAACATCGTCAAAGCATTGGAATAATCGGCCAAGTAATCATAAAGCACGACTTACGATTTATTATTACTCCTAAGTCCATACGTTCCTACATACATGTAGGAGATTTACAATCAACGGTATACTGGTAACTGTTACCGTGTCCGATATGCATGAACACACTCTTCTTAGAATTAACTTCGAAGTCACAACCTCCAACCCATCTAACTAATTCCTCTAGGTCAGCTTGAAAGCCAAAATGGTCAGCCTCACTTCCTATTGTTCTCCATATTTTGATATCACGCATAACGTGATCACTGTTCGCTAGTTAGGAGAGGTGCTAAAAGTTAATGACATCCGTAGAAACATGATCTACTTTGTTATTTGTACTTTTATAATAAGAGGCCTAATTCTAAAATTGTGGGAATGTTGTGATGTGACTGTCCAATCTATAAGATTTTACGTATAAGTCAAATCATTGTCTACACTGACTCATCGTATCGTAACAATTAACAATATGATATCTGGAGTTTGCGAAGAACACATTTAGTCTAAAGATAGGATAGTACATTTAATGTGAGTAAAGACAAGTTATATAGAAAGACCACGTCTGAGGGGTTGAACCATAACATCCAATTTATTGAATTATTGTTCCTGTGTTCCCATAGCTAACCTTCTCTTCGCGTCAGTTGCTGAATCTAGCTTTCTGATAATCATATGCTCGGCTTCAGAGGTCATGTGGTTAGGGTCCAATGCCACTACACTTCCTCACAGTGGTGTGTTTGGACAAGGTCCAACAATGTGGGATAATGTTCCAAGTCAGTATGTATCGGTTTTGCGATACGTTGTACAAGTACTCACTGAATAATGATTGATAGAAGATCACTGTCCAAACCTCTACCTGAAGCTGTAAGGTCTGTCCGGTTGACACGTCATGCGTTGAAATCTCCAATGAAGAGACAACATTCTGCCTTACCTCAATGACAGATGTGTCTTATGGTAAAGTCGTCAGCAATACAACGCGGACTACTGTATATTCCCCTTATAGTCACTAACCCGTGTCTAGACTTAATTGTACAATATGCTACTTCACTTGTATCACTAATATGCGCCTCCGATATGATTGATTGTACACGAAAGTGATCCTCAACCAATACAATATGCCTCGTCCCCTGCGATTTATAACTCCATCACTTCTAATACAGCTGTAGCCTGAAATGATGGAAGAACGTTCCGTATCTGCGGTGACTCAAGTTTCTGTGACAACAATAAAATTGGGACTTAATTCATCCATCATAAAACTTAGCTCAGACATCTTGTTTCGAAAACTAGGGGTGTTCGTGTAGCACACATTTGAGGTGGTTCGAGAATCATTCGTCCTCCCCACACATGTCTCTAAAGAATTGGCCTCCAAGACCTGACTACCCAAATGTCCTTAATCGTGAGGTTCGTTTCGCCATTTTGCTTTCGAGTTTTTGACTCCCTAATGGCATTCCTCCACTTGATTCGGTCTTCAAGCGGCCAATCTAGTCGGGTAAGAATATTTGAAATAAGAGTTTTCTATGCATTATTCAATATTACTTCACTTCCATCAAAATTCACAGGCAATTGCTCTAAGACTCTTCTTGGATGGGTCTCTCCTCCAACCCACTTACCGAGTCTTATTAATTTCGTGATTCATAACAATAAATTTCATTAACACCGAATGGAGATTATCGTTGCATAAAAAATGTATCATACCGTTCCTTGAATATGTTGTTCTGCATAACACTAATGAAAGGCACAATGATTTGATGAAAATTGAAAACACACGACAAAGATTCACTAGGACTGTGTTTGGGGTATTCTGACAAGGATTACCACAAAAGGTGTTGTACCGTCAATATAATGTCTCTGGGTCCTAGCCAAATCGTCTGGCAGTTGGGTCACTGTATGTCGAACATCTCACTGATCCCCGTCAGGGCCAAAAGCAACTGGAATGCGTCAGTTAATTGTGAGCCGTAAATTGGTCCATGCAACAGTGGTCAGGTAACAGCCCATGTTGATTAGCTGTGAGTTGACCTCAAAAAATCAAGTTTATGTCAAAACAATGGAGCTAAAGTATTCATTCACTCCCTTATTTTGTAAAACCATCATATGTCCTATTATTTTACATTGAAAAGCTTTGTGTGTTTGAGCAGGTAACTTCTCTCTCCTTCATGTGCGACCCATGAACTAAAATGAAGACCTATCTGCTACTGGTCTAGTTTTTTCTATCAATAGAACGAAGGATACCTACAAGCATAAAAGTCGTCCTCTGGTTCTTGTACTCACTCCTACTAATATATTCCTGTGTCGCATTGTTATCAAAACAGCCGTAGTACCTAGGTACGAGAAAATAGCAATCTAGGTTATGCACCAAACGCGAGATGAGAATTCTAAGTTGGAAGGCTTTCACTTGCCTCGTGATGCAGTTTGATGATCTCCACAATTTGTGTCCTGCCCATCTCCATCATTTTTTAATAACTTTTTCTTTAGCTAAAACCTGGTTTGTTCTCTACCACAGTAGGTTGTTGTTGATGATACCACATCAACGAACATCTAGTATATTGCGTGACCCACTGTTTATAAATACTTGTACTTTTCGATGATAGTTGTAGCATTTCTACAGGTTTCGATTCCGTGCAATAGAATTAACTGACTTGATGTTTGTATTGCAAATTCTGATTTTGACATTGCTTGACAGTTGTTTTGAATTCCATATGTTCTTCGGTTGTGGGAATGCAGCTCTTGCTCTGACAATCATCGCCTTTACGTCTGGATATGATCCTTCTTGCTTATCGATGTTGCTGTCCTTGTTCGTCGATGACAGTTTCCACCTCATACAGATCTGTGCCGTAAAGTATTTGAAGATCTTTCTTTTTCGCTTTTGCATGTTGAAGCCTACTGATACGGAGGCTGATGCTTCACTGGTTTTCTACACCTGTATTTGTTGCCGCATATGATATGGAAGAGCTGTGTCATCTGCAAAGTTCAAATCATCTTGTTGCATGCGAGCTATCGATTATGTTCTGTGCTTCGCCTAAGGTGTGGAGGTCTTCATAATCCAGTCGACCACCAGAAGAAAGTGGAAGAGTGAGAGAAAGTATCCTTGTTCGACTCCGTTTCTCACATAAATTGCATTTGTCAGCTGTCCTTCATGCACCACTTTGCAGTGTAGTCCGTCGTATGAATTCCGTGTGATGTTGATGATCTCAGCTATTCGCTAAATAATGTCGAAGAAAATTCAAAAACTTTCTATTATCCACACTGTCAAGCGTGTTTTTCACAGTGAAGGAATTTGATATATGGTGACAAACTCTATTCAATTGATTGATCTGTAGTGTGGCGATTTGATTTGGATGCGACTGATGCTTATGTAATTCAGCCTGTTGATCTCGAAGTTGGGAGTCTAGCGAATCTTTCATTCAATCCAACACCAGTCAGCAGGAAACTTTTCTCTGTACTGTTGTTAGTGTGGTAACTGTGTAATAATTATAGTATATTTCTGCCACGGCAGGTGCACACCATTTTCACAGACACGATCAGCAAATTACAACATTAGTTTGCTCACAGTATGTTTTACAAGAATAGTCGTTAAATGGATGAAATCGATGAAAGTAAATAGCATTGCATTCGTGCCAATGTCTCATAGCGTTGATGATTAGGTTTATGGCTAAATTTAACTCTGAGTACAGTTTTTAGAATGTTTCTAAAATGGCATCACCATCACCATCAATGCTTGCTGGTCAGTAACTCCACCTTCTCTACTTTTGTGATTTTAAGCTCATTAATTATTATTTATGGTTACATATTATATCTCATACGATGCTCTGCGTTTTATATACTGTTGGAACACACTATTCCTGTATGTACCATTTTACAAGCTAGTCAGGCAGTTACAAATTACAGACTGTTGGTAAGGCATCGATGCAATGCTTTAAATGACTATAGCGTAATGTATAGGTTGCCAAACCAAGTATAGACATTAAGAAGGATATAACGCAGAATAGTTTCTTTTACCGCAGTAGGCAGAAAAGTCTATGGGTATTCTAGTCACAGATAAGGGAGTGAGTGGTGAAATAAAATTTATGGTAACTCAACTTAGTGTACAGGAGAGTAGAAATCTGATGAAGAATAGACAAGATGGAACTCAAATTAATTTGGTGCTGATGTTATCTTGTGCCATTCTAATCGGTTGATAGGTTACGGGCTCCATAGACGCTGAACCTGCTAGATCCATTTTGAAAGTGAAAATCCCTCCATGCATACATTTGTGATTTCTTTCTTGTGGTTTCTTTATTTGCATATATTGTTAACT